CTAGGGTAATGTATATTAATAGGGTTAACTTTAGTGTTGTGGTTCTGTTTCATGGAATTGGCATACTGGAGTCTTCCTCTGGAAGTAGTTTCCAGATTTTTTTGTCCTGTGCCAAAAATTGGTCAAGACAAGAACAAATGGTAATAATGTCATAGAGCTAGTAAAGGCGCCCAAAAAAGACCACTTTCTGTAGGAGTTTGGCCCAAGGAAAAACAGGAAGAAGAATTAACTACACACTACAGGGCCTGAGGGGGCTACTTTGAAGAGACATGATAGTACATGCTCAGTGGTAGATGTTCAGTTTTAGCCCTCACTATATAGTCCGGTTTGGTTCTGTTGAAGGGAGAAGAACCTCTCCAGCGTGATTTCCTCCCTTTCTAAAGCATATTGTTCCCCTGCAGAGTTCTTAGCCTCTTGTAGGATTCTTTGTCTTTTGTCTGGGGAATTGGACATGTTGCCACAATAGGTCAAAAGTGAGGGTCAAAGTTTGAAATTCATCTGCAAACTAGCTAGGATCCTTTGAAAGTCAGCCTAACTCTTCTTGGCATTATTGGATAACTGCGACTGAGAAAAGGACCTAGGCTCCAATAGTCACGTTGACAGGTGGTGCAGGACAAGCTGTGAGTTAGAGGGGTAAGAAGGGCCATGTGAAGTACAACCTGTGAGCTCAAGGCTGCCTGTGAACATCCAGGGATGCTTAAGAGTGGGGGCATCTGGCAAGTTGTACAGCTGTCTGAGGAGCGTGGTGAGGAGGCTGAGGAATCCTGCATTCCTCTGGAACAGGTTTTAATAGAGTTCCGGAGTCACTTGAAGGGGCTGGCACTCTTTTATTGGCCTGAAGATTCTGAGTAGGTGTCAAGGAGACCTTCCTGCATGAATGTCTTCATTAAGTAGTTGAGAAACAGACGGGAATCTGAGCACAGGACCATCAAAGAGACAGTTGTGTTCCTCAGCGGCCACTCTGAATACCTAGTTTCTGAGGTTTCCCTGAGATAAAGAGTCATAAAAACTTGAACAGAAGGGATTTCTCTCCACTTTATATGGTTTAAGGAGAAATGATTTAATTGAAAAATGTACCATTATTTCAACTGAACTGCCATCCTGTACCCATCTCTTGCCATTCCCTAGGACATACTGGACCCAAAGTGTATAGCAATTGGAGATAATAGTTCCTCTTTCAAATTGGCAGGGTCAAAGCTTTTCCACTGATCAAGGATATGGCCTAGTGGTGAGGTTAGTGGGATCTGTGGTGTGATATTTCTGTTGTTTCCTATGGTTCATCTTGCAGCCTATAAACAGAATTGGTTTCAGGACTTTCAGGCAGCATTCCATGTAGAAGAACGAAACCGACACTGACCCCTACAAAGCACCCCTTGTGAGACTCATGGATTTACTAGGCAGACATCTTGACTTGAAGGTGAGACAATACTAGCATGTTTCTTCGATGATGGAGAAAGCAGGAAAACACTCTTGAAGCCATTAGAAAATCCTAGGTAGGGAAGTGGAGAGAGAGAGGGAGAAAGAGAGTAGAGAAGAGAAGAGAGAAAAGAAGAGGAGAGATGGGGAGAAAGAGAGAAAGAGAGAGAGAGAGAGAGGAAAAGAATATGGAGATTGATGGGAGAAGAGAAGAGAATGAGATATGTAGGAGAGGAGGGGAGAGGAGGGCAGAGTGAGATAGGAAAGGAAGGGAGAGGAGAGGAGATTGAGGTAGACAGGAGAGGAAAGGAGAGGAGACTGGGATAGATAAGAGAGGAGGAGAGAAGAGGAAAGGAAAGGAGGGAGGACAGGAGAGGAGACATACAGATAGGAGAGGAAGGAAGACAGTAGGAGAAGAGAGGAGAGAAAGGGAGAGGAGTGGAGAGGCGAGGAGAGAAAGAGAGGGGAGGGGAGAGGAGAGGAAAGGAGGGAAGAGGAGAATGAGATAGTTTGGACAGGAGGAGAGAGGACGGGAAAAGAGGGAGAGGAGAGGAATGGAGGGGAGAGTAGGGGAGGGGAGAAGAGGGGAGAAGAGGAGGGGGAGAGCAGGGGAGAGCAGAGAGAGGGGAGGGGAGAGAGGAGGGAAGAGGAGGGCAGAGAAGAGGGAAGAGGAGCAGAGGGGAGGAGAGGAGAGAGGAGAGGACAGGTGGGGAGAGGAGGGGATAAAAGAGGGAAGAGGAGAGGAGGGGAGAAAAGAGAGTAGGGGAGGGGAGAGGAGAAGAGGTAAGGGGAGAGGATGGAAGAGGAGAGAAGAGGATGGGAGAAAGAAGAGAGAAGAGGAGGGGAGAAGATGAGAGAGGGGGGAGAGGAGGGGAGGCCAGAAGAGGGGAGAAAGGAGAGGAGAGGAGGAAGAGGGGAGAGAAGGGGAAAGGAGGGGAGAAGAGAGAAGAGGACCAGAGGGGAGTGAATAGGAGAGGGAAGGAGAGGAGAAGAGGGGAGAGAAGGGGAAAGGAGGGGAGAAGAGAGAAGAGGACCAGAGGGGAGTGAATAGGAGAGGGAAGGAGAGGAGAAGAGGGGAGAGAAGGGGAGAGAAGAGTAATGGAAGGGAGAGGAGAGCAGATAATTGGATGGGAGAAGAGGGAAGGGGAGAAGAAAGGCGTGGAGGGGAAGGGAGGAAATGGGAGGAGAGAGAGGAGGGGAGATTAGGGGATGAGAGTGGAGAGGTAGGGAGAACAAGGGAGTGGACCGCAGAGGATAGGAGAAGAGGGGAGCAGAGAGGAGGGGAGAGGAGAGGCGGGGAGAGGAGGAGAGCTAAGTGGGGAGGACAAGAATGGAGAAGAGAGGAAAACAGAAAGGGGAAGAGGAGGGGAGAGAGGAGCAGAAGGAAAAAGAGTGGAGGGAAGGGGAAAGGAGAGTAGGAGACAGGGGAAAGAAGAGGGGAGAGGAGTGGAGAGGAGATAATAAGGGTGAGAAGGGTAGGGGAGAGGAGGGAGATGAGAGTAGAAGAGGGGAGAGATGAGAGGAGAGGATGCGAGAGGAGGTGAAATGAGAGGAGAGGAGGGCACAGGAGGGAAGAGGAGAGAGGAGAGCAGTGGAGAGGAGAAGAGAGAAGGGGAAGGGCAAGAGGAGGACAGTGGAGATGAGGGCAGAAGAAGGGAGGGGAGTTGAGTGAATAAGAGAGGAGAGGAGAAGACATTGAGATAGACAGGAGAGGAAGGTAGAGGAGGAGATGAGATGAGGGGAGAGAAGACAATAGGAGGGGAGAGGAGGGGAAAGGAGGGAAGAGGAGAAATGGAAGGGGAGAGGAGTGGAGAGGAAGGGAGAGATTGAGATAGATAGGAGAGGAAGAGAGGAGGAGAGAGAGAAGAGAAGGGGATAAGAGTGGAGAGGAGAGGATAGATCGGAGGCTAGAAGGCAGGAGAGGTGAGGAAGGGAGTGGAGAGGAGGGGGGAGAGAGGCAGAGAAGAGGGGAGAGGAGAGAAGAGGAGAGAAGAAGAGAGGGGAGAGGAAGGGAGAGGGGGGAGAGCAGGGGAGAGAAGGAGAAGGGAGAGGATGGGAAAGGAGGAACAGAGAATAGGATGGGGGGAGAGGAGATTGAGAGATATACTAGAGAGGGGAGAGGAGAAAAGAGGAGCAAGGAGGGGAAGGGAAGAAGAGAGGAGGGGAGAGGAAAGGAGAGGAGATGGGTGGATAGGAGAGGAGGGGAAAGGAAAGGATGGGAGAGGAAAGGAGAGGAAGGGAGAGGAGGGGAGGGAAGAGGAGAGGAAGGGAGAGAGGAGAAGAGGGGAGAGGACAGGAAAGGAGGGGAGATGAGGGGAAAGGAGAGAAAGGGTGGGGAGAGGAGAGAAAGGGTGGGGAGAGGAGAGAATGGGAGAGGCAGGAAAAGAGGGGAGGGGAGAGGAGAGGAGAGGGGGCAGCAGGGAAGAGGAGGGAGAGGGGAGGAGAGGAGAAAAAGGGAGGAGAGAGGAGACAAGAGAAGTGGAGAGAGGGAAGGGGAGAGGAGAACGGGAGAAAATAGAGGAGGGTAGAGGAGGGGAGGATGTGTAGGGGAGAGAATGGGAGAGCAAAGCAAGGGAGAGGAGAAGAGTGGAGAGGAGGGAGGACAGAACAGAGGAGGCAAGAAGAGGGAGAAAAGGGGAGGGGAGAGGAGGGGAGAGGAGAGGAGAGGAAAGAAGAGGAGAGCAGGGCATAGGAGATTAAGGGAGAGGAAGGGATAGAGGAGAGGAGTGGAGAGGAAGGCAGAGGCAGGGAGAGAGAAGAGGAGAGGAGGGGAGAGGAAAGGAGAAGAGGGGAAGGGAGAGGTGGGGAGAGGAGGGATAAGAAGAAGAGAGGAGAGGAGAGAACAGAAAGGAGAAGAGGTGAGAGAAGGGGAGGAGATTGAAGGGGAGAGGAGATTAGGGAAGAGGAGGGAGAGAGGAGACACGAGGAAGGGAGGGGAGGGGAGAGAAGGGGGAGAGGAGAAATGTTGAGGGGAGAAGAGGGGAGATTGGAGGAGGGCAGAGGAGGGGAGGGAGGAGAGGAGAAGATGGGTGGAGAAAGGATGGAAGAGAAAGGGAGAGGAGAGAAGGGGAGAGGAAAGTACAGTAGGTGAGCAGAGAGGAGGGTAGAGAGTGGAGAGGAAAGGATGGGAGAGGAGAGAGAGGAAGGGAGGAGAGAGTAGAAAAGGAGAGAGGAGAGGAGAGGAAGAAAGAGGAGGAGAGAATGGATAGAACAGCAGGGGAGAGGTGAAAAAGCAAGGGAAGAGGAGAGGAGGGAAGGGAAAAGGAGGGGAGAGATGTAAAGATGAAAGGAGGGGAGAGGAAAGGAGAAGAGTGCCGAGAGTAGAGGAGAGCAGAAGAGAGGAGAGTAGAGGAGCGGCATGGTGGGTTGAGGAGGAGGGTAGAGGACGGGCAAGGATAGGAGAAGAGGGGAGAAGAGAGAGGGGTGGAGAGAGGACAGGAGAGGAGGCAAGAGGAGGGGAGAAAAAAGAGGAGAAGGGGAGAGGAGAGCATAGGAGGGAAGGGGACGGGATAGGAGAGGACAGAAGAGGAGCAGAGAAGGGAGAGGAGAGGAGACTAGGTCAGGAGAGAGGAAAAGAGAGGAAGGTAGATGAGAAGAGGGGAGAAGAGAGAAGAGAAGAGGGGAGGGAGGAGGAGAAAAGGAGATGAGGGGATAGGAGGGGAGGGGTGTGGAGGTTAGAGGAGAGGTGGGCAGGGGATGGGAGAGAAGAGAGGAGATGAGAGAGAAGAGGAGGGGTGGGAGAGAAGGGGAGGGGAGAGAACAGGAGAGGGGGGAGAGAATAGAAGAGGAAGGCATGGGATAGGAGAGGAGAGGAGGAGACAGGAGAGGAGAGGATAGAAAGGGAGAGGTATGGAGAGAGGAGAGGAAAGCAGGGGGGACGTGATGAAGGGACTGGAGGGGAGAAGAGGTAAGGGGAGAGGAGGCATGAGGAGAGGAGAGAGATGGAGCAGGGAGAGGATGGCAGAGGAGGGGAGAAGAAAGGAGAGAAGAGAGGACAGGGGAGAGGAGAGGAGAGGAGGAGAGGGAAGAAAAAGGGGAAAGGAGATTAGGGGAGAGGAGGGAGAGAGGAAAGAATAGGGGGGCTGAGGAGTGGAGTGAGGAGAAAAGGACAGAGTGGAGAAGAGGTGGGGAGGGGAGAGGAAGGGAGAGAAGACAAGAGGAGAGGAAAGAGTGGAGAGGAGTTTAGAGGAGAGTAAATGAGAGGAGGTTGAGTAAGATAGGAGAAGGGAGAGGAGAGGAGATGTGGTGAGAGAAGGAGAGAAGTGGGCAGGGGGTGGGGGAGAAGTGGAGAGGATGGTAGAGGAAAGTTGAGATAGATAAGAAAGGTAAAAAAAGGAGAAGAGAGAGGGTAGATGAGAGAAATGAAGGGGAGGGGAGGGGGGGGGAAAGGGGAGAAGAGAGGAGGGGGAGGTGAGAGGAGATTAGAAGAAAGGAGATAAGGTGAGAAGAGAGGGGAGAAGGGTAGGGAGAGAATAGGAGGGAAGTGTAGGCGAGGGAGGCAGAGAGGAAGAGAGGGGAGGGGAGTGCAGAGGCGAGGAGGAGAGGGCAGGGAAGAGAGGATAGGAGGGGAGTGGAGCAGTGGGATGAAGAAAGGGGAGGAAAGGAGGGGACAGAAGGAGAGAGGAGAAAGGGGAGTGGGGAAGATAGGAGTGAAAGGTAGAGGAGAGGCGAAGTGAGGAGAGGGGAGGAAGAAAGGGGATGGGGGGGAGAGAAGAGAGGAGTGCAGAGGAGAGAAGATGAATAGAGGTGAGAGAAGGCGAGAAGAGAGTATGGTAGGGGAGGGGAGAGAAAGGGAGAGGAGGGGAGAGGAGGGGAGAGGAGAGGAGAGGAAAGGAGGGGAGAGGAGGGGAGAGAAGAGAGAGAATAGAGAGGAGAGGAGGTGAGGTGAGAGAATTGGAGAGTTTCAGGAAGAAGAGGGAGAAAGGAAAGGAGAGGAGGGCAGAGAAGTGGAGAGAGGAGAAAAGGGCAGAGGGGAAAAGAGGTGGGGAGGGGAGAGGGAGGGAGGAGAGAGGAGAGGAAAGTGGAGAACTATAGAGGAGGGGAGGGGAGAGGCAAGGAGAGGAAATGAGAGGGGGAGAGGAGAGGTTGGGAGAGAAAGGGAGGGGAGAAGAAGGCACAGGAGAGGAGGAGGGAGAGGAGAAGTTGGGAGAGGAGAGAAAACAAGGGGAAGGTAGTGGACAGGAGGGGAGAGGAGTTAGGGGAGTTGAGTGGATAGAGAGAAGAGAAGAGAGAGAAAGAGAAGAGAAGAGAGAAGAGTGAGAAAGATTGGAGAGAAAGGGAGAGGAGAGGACACGACAGGAGAGAAGAGAAAAGGAGGGGAGTAGAGGGGAGAGGAAGGGAGAGGAAGGGAGAGGGGAGGAGTGGAGAGGAGGGGATAGCAGACTGAGATAGATAGGAGAGAAAGGGAGAAGAGAGGAGAAGAAAGCAGTGGGGAGGAGTCAAAGGGAGAGGAGGGGAAAGAAAGGGAAGGAGAGGGGGTAGTGGGGAGGAGAGGAGCAGAGAGCAGGAGAGGGCAGGGGAGAGCAGAGGACAGACGAGGAGGCTAAGGGAGTGGAGAAGAGAAGAGGGGAGGGGAGAGGAGAAAACGAGAGGAGAGAAGAGGAGGGGAGAAGAGGTGAGGGGAGAGATGGGGCAAGGATGAGACAGAAGGGAGAGCAGAGGAGAGGAGGGGAGAGAGGAGAGGAGAGAAGAGAGGAGATGAAGCAAGAGGAGACGAAGGGAGGGGAGAGACAAAGAGATTAGAGGAAAGAAGGAGAAAGAGGAGAGGATTGGAGAGCAGGGCAGAGGCGGTTGAAAGGAGAGGAGAGGAGGAGAGAGGAGAGAAGAAAAGGGGTGGAGAGAGGAGAGGAGTCCGTGGTAAGGGAGAGAAGAGAAAGGGAGTGGAGGGGATGGGAGGGGAGTGGAGAGGATCAAGGGGAGAGAAGGGTGAGAAGAGAGGAAGGGAGGAAAAGGAGAGGAGATTGAGATTAGTAGGAGAGGAGGGGAGAGGAGAGGAAAGGAGGGGTAGGGAGAGGAGTGAAGAGGTGGGTAGAGGAGAGGAGATTGAGATAGTTAGGAGAGGACGGGAGAGGATTGGATAAGAAAGGAGAGGAGAGGAGTGAAGGGCATGGAAAAGGGGAAGAGGGGAAGGGAGAGGAGAGGAGGGTAATGAAGAGGAGAAGAAAGAAGGGTAGGGGAGAGGAGAGGAGGGAGAGGGAGAGAAGATATAGGAGAGAAGAAGAGGGGAGGGAGAGGAAAGGAGATTGAGATAGATAGGAGAGGAGGGGTGACTAGAGATGAGGAAGGGAGTGGAACAGAGGAGTAGAGGAGAGAGGAGGGCAGAGGAGGGGATATGGGAAAAGACAGGAGAGGAAAAGAGGATTGGAGAGAGGGGAAGTTAGAACAGGGAAGGTGAGGGAAAGGAGAGGAGAGGAGAGGAAGGGAGGGGAGCAGAATGGAGACTAGGATAGAGGAGAGGAGGGAAAGGGAGAGGAGCATTGAGGAAGGGGGAGTAGAGGAGAGGAGGAGAGAGGAGGGGATAGAAGGGAGCACAGGGAATGGGAGAGGAGGGAAGGGTAGAGGAAGTTATGCAAGAGGAGGGGAAATGAGTGGAGAGGAGAGGACAGGATGGGAGAGAAGGAGAGGGCAGAGGAGAGTAGCAGAGGTTAGAGGAGAGGAGAGAAGGGCAGAGGAGGTGAGAGGAGAATAGGGGAAGGAGAGGATGGGAGAGGAGGGGAGGTTTTGGGAGTGAGGAGAAGAAGAAAGAAGGGGAGTGGAGGGGTTAGGAGGAAAGGAGAGAGCAGAGAAAGGGAGAGGGAAGGACAGGAGAGGAGGGGAGAGAAGGGAGGGGAGAGGAGAAAACGGGAGAGGAAAGGAGAGGAGAGGTATGGGAGTAGGGCAGAGGCGTCAAAAGGCAAGGAGAGAAGAGATGAGAGGAGGAGAAGGGAGGGAAGAGGAGGGAAGAGAAGAGAGGAGAAAGGGCAAAAGAGAAGAGAGGAGGGTGGAGGGAGAAGGGGAAAAAACATTAATGGAGAGGAGAGAGAGAGGGAAGGAGAAGAGGCCAGAGGAGAGGAGAGAAGGGGAGGGGTGAGGAAAGCAGGGGAGAGAATTGGAGAGGAGGGGAGAGGAGAGAAGATTGAGATACATAGGAGAGGAAGGTAGAGGAGAGGACATGAGGGCAGAGGAGAGGATAGGAAGGCAAGGGAGGAGAGAGGAGTGGGGAGGATCGTAGAGGAGAGGAGATTGAGATAGGAGAGGTAGGAGGAGGAGAGGAAAGAAGAGAGGAGGTGAGAGGAGGATGAAGAAGAGTAGGAGAGAGGCAAGGAAGAGAGAGGAGGGGTGGGTGGAGGCAGGGATATGAGGGTAGGGGAGAGGGGAGAAGGGGAGAGGAGCAGTGGGGAGAGGAGAAGATAGGAGACGAGGGTAGAGCAGGGGAGGGGAGAGACAGGGAGAGGACATCAGGAGATGGCGGGAGAGGAGAGAAGTGGAGAGGAGAGCAAAGGAGGGGAGAGAGGAGAGGACAGGAGGGGAGAGAAGAGATGAGGGGATGGAAGAGGAGGGGAGAGTAGGGGAGAGAAGAAAAAGGAAAGGAAGGGAGGAAAGAAGTGTGGATAGGAGGGGAGAGGAAATGAGATTGAGATACATGGGAGCAGAAGGGAGAGGAGAGGAGAAGAGGGAGGAGGAGAGAATAGGAGGGGAGTAGAGTGAAGAGAGGAAGAGAAGGGAGAAGAGTGGATAGGATGGGAGAGGAGATTGAGATAGGAGAGGAAGGGATAGGAGATGAGAGTAGGGGAGTGGAGAGAAGGTGAGAGGAGGGGAGGTGAAAGGAGAGGAGAGGAGGGCAGGTGAGAGGACAGGATTGATGAGGAGGCTAGGAGAGAGGAGTGGATAGGAGAGGGGAGAGAGGAGAGGAGAGGAGGGGAAAGGAGAAAAGAGGAGAGGAAAAGAGTCTGGGAGAGGAGTGGAGAGGAACAGAGAGGAGAGGATGGAAGAGGAGATAAGAGGAGGGGAGAGGAGTGGAGAGGCATGAGTGGAGAGGAAAGGAGGAGAGAGGAGGGTAGAGAAAAGGAGAGGAGGGTAGAGGAGAGGAAAGTAGAGGAGAGGTGGGCTCAGAAATGGAGAGTGGAGAGGATAGGAGCGGAGATGAGAGGAGAGCAGGGAAGGGGAGAGGAGGTGAGTGAGAGGAGAGGACAGGAAGGATGGATAGTTGTGGGGATAGAAAGGGAAAGGAGAAGAGATGGAGATAGATATGAGAGGAAAGGAGAGGAGAGGAGAGGAGGTGAAGGATGAGAAAGGAATAGAAGGGGAATGAGGGAGAGAAGAAGGGAGAGCAGGAGAGAGGAGAGGAGAGGAGAGGAGAGAAGGGAGGAGGAAAGAAGGGAGAGTAGCAGAGAGGAGGGAGGAGAGGAGAGGAGGGGAAAGGTGAGGAAGGTTGGGGAGAGGAGGGGAGAGAAGAGAAGAGGAGGGGAAGGAATGGGAAAGGAAGGGAGAGGAGAGGAAGGGAGGGGAGATGAGGGAGAAAAGGTCAGAGAGTGGAGAGAAGAGGAGAGGGGGAGGAGGGGAGAAGAAGGAAAGAGGAGGAGAGGAGGAGAGGGGAGAAGAGGAGAAAAGGTGAGAGTGGAGGGGAGAGATGAGAGGAGGGGAGAGGAGGAGAGGTTGAGGAGGGGAGAGATGGGGAGAGGAAAGGAGGGGAGAAGAGAGGAAAGGAGGGTAGAGAAGAGAGGAGAGCATAGGATAGAAGCAGAGATGAGGGGAGAGGGTGGCAGAGAAAGGCATAGGAGGGGAGAGGAGTGGAGAAAAGTGGAAGTGAGGGGAGTGGAAGAGGGAGAGAGGAGGAAAGGAAGGGAGAGGAGATTGAGATAGGTAGAAGGGGAGAGGAGAGTATGGAGGAGAGGGAAGAGGAGAGAAAGTTTGAGGAGGGCAGAGGAGGGGAGAGAAGAGAGGAGAGGAGAGGAGAGGAGAAGAGGGGAGGGAAGAGAAGGACTGAGTAAAGGAGAGGAGGGGAAAGCAGGAGAGAGGAGGGGAGAGAGGAGAGGAGAGAACCGAGAAAAGGAGAGAAGAGGAGAGGTGAGGAATGGAAAGGAGAGGCAAGGAGGAGAGAGGAGAGGACAGGAAGGGAGATAAGGGGAGGGGAGAGGAAAGGGAAGGAGGGGTGAGGAGGGGTGAGGTGACGAGAGGAGAGGAGGGAAGGTTATGGGACAGGGGGAAAAGAGGCGAGAGAAGTGGAGAGGAGAGGAAAGGGGGGATGAAGGGAGAAGAGAGAGAGAGAGAAGGAAAGGAGAAAGGGGGAGAGGAGAGAAGTGAAAGGGAGGTGAGAGATTTGAGGAGGGGAGAGAAGAGAGGAGAGGAGGGGAGAGCGGGTGAGGTTGAGTAGTGGAGAGAAGGGGAGAGGAAAGTAATGGAGAAGAGAGAAGAGGAGGGGAGAGGAGAGAGCAGAGGATAGGAGAGGAGGGGAGGGGAAGAGGGGAGAGGAAGGGAGAGAGAGAGGAGGAAAGGAAGAGAGCCTAGAGGAGCAGAGATTGAGATAGGTAGGAGGGGAGAGGAGAGGAAAAGAGAGAAGAGGGGAGAAGATGAGGTGAAGGGAGAAAAGAGGAGAGGAGAGAGGAGGGGAGAGAGGAGAGGAGGGGAGAAAGGAGATAAAGGGAGAGGAGAGGAAGGGAAAGGTGGGGAGAGGAGGGAAAAGAGGAGAGTAGGGGAGAAGAGAGCAGGGGAGTAGAAAGGAGAGTATCAGAAAGGGGGGAAAAAAGGGGAGAGGAGTGGAGAGGAAAGGAGGAAGGAGAGCAAAGGAGAGAGCAGAGGAGAGGAGACAAGGGGAGAGTAGAGTAGAGGAGAGAAGTGTAGGGTAGGGGAGAGGAGGGGAGAAAAGAGAGGAGAGGATGGGAGAGATCAGGAGGTTGTGTAGGGGAGAGAAGAGGACAGAAAATGAGGGGAGGAGATAGAAGAGGAGGGGAAGGGAGAGACAGGGAGAGCAGATTAGGGGAGAGGAAGGGAGAGAGTAGAGGATAGGAGGGCAGAGGAGGGGAGAGTGCAGGAGAGCATGGGAGGAGAGAGGTGGGGAGAGGACAGTGAGGAGAGGAGAGGGGTGGTAGAGGGCAGAGAGGATCAGAGAAGAGTAGATGAGAGAGGTGAAGTGGAGTTGAGAGAAGGGAAGAGGAAATTAGGGGAGATGAGGGGAGGAGAGGAGAAGAAGGGAGATGAGAGGAGAAGGGAGTGGAGAGGTGGAGAGATGGCACATGATAGAAGGGGAAGGGAGAGGAGGGGAGAAAAGGGCACTGAGAGAAGGAGAGAGAAGGGAACAGGAGTGGAGAGAAGACAGGAGAGAGGGGAGACAAGAGTAGAGGAGGAGAGGAGAGAGAAGGGGAAAAGAGATTAAGGGAGAGGAGTGAGAGAGGAGAGGAGAGTAGGGGAGACATGAGGAGTGTAAGGGAGGGGAGAGGATAGGAGCAGGGGGAGAGAAGTTGAGGAAAGAGAAGGGGATAGTAGAGGAGAGGAGAGGAGAGAGGAGAAGAGAGAAGAGGTGGAGAGAGGATTGGAGAGGAGGAGTGGAGGGGAGAGGAGGGCAGAGGAGTGGAGAGAGGTGATGAGCAGAGAGCAGAGGAGAGTAGGGAAGCAGAGAGGAGGGAAGAGAAGAGGAGAGCAAAGGAGGGGAGAGGAAGAAAAGAGAGGGTAGGAAGAGAAGAGAGGAGGGAAGAAAGGAAAGGATGGCAGGGGAGAGACGAGTAGGGGAGGGGAGGGGATAGGAGCGTATTGGAGAGAGGAGAGGAGAGGAGGGCAGAGGTGGGACAGAGGAGAGAAGATGGGGGAGAGGAGAAGAGTGGAGTGTAGGAGAGTAGAGAGAATGGGAGAGGAGGGGATGGGAGGGGAGAGGAAAGAAGGGGAGGAGAGGGAGGGGAGAGAAAGGTAGAGAGAAGAGGAGGGGAGGGACAGCAGAGGAAATTGAGATTGATAGGAAAAGAGGGGAGAGGAGAGGGAGGAGATGATGGGAGAGGACTGGGGAGAAGGGTAGAAGAGAGGAATCTGAGATAGGAGAGGGAGGGAGTGTATTGGATAGGATGGGAGAGGAGAGGAGTGAAAGGGAGGGAAGAAGTGAGGGGAAGGGAGAAGAGAGAAGGAGAGAAGAGAGGATGGTAGGAAAAAGGAGATGAGGGAAGGGGAGGGGAGAGAAGATCGAGGAGAGGAGGGGAGGGAGAGGAGGGGAGATTGAGATAGCTAGGAGAGGAAGGGTGAATAGAGAACAGGGGCATGTAGAGGACAAGAGGGAGAGGAGGGCAGAGGGGAGAGGAGAGGAGAAGATTGGAGAGGAAGGGAGGGGAGAGCAGTGGATATTAGGGGAGAGGAGAGGAGGGAAGGGAAGATGAAGGGAGATTAGAGAAGGGGAGAGGAGGGGAAGGGACAGAATGGGAGAGGAGAAGAGGGAGCAAGAGCAGAGGTGAGGGGGGAGGTGAGTGGGGAGGAGAAGTAATGACGGGAGAGGAGAAAAGGGTAGAGTAGGGGAGAGGAGAGGAGCGGAGAGGAGAGAAGGGGAGAGTAGAGATGAGGAGAGAAGAGAGGAGTGGATTGTAGAGAAGGAAGTGCAAGACATGAAGAGAAAAGGAGGGAAGGGAGGAGCTAGAAGGGGAGGAGAGAGAGGAGAAAGGGAGGGGGAAGGAGAAGAGGAGGGGAGAGAAGGAGAGAAGAGAGGAGAGGGGAGATGTGGAGAGGAGAGACAGGGAGAGAAAAGAGGAGGGGCAAGAAATTGGGAGAGGAGATGAGAGGCATGTAGAGAAGAGGGGAGGCGGTTACAGAAGAGGGTAGGAAGAGGAGAGGAGATGTGTGGAGAGGAGAGGATTGGAGAAGGGGAAGAGAAGGGGAGAGAGGAGAGGAAGGGAGAAGAGGGGAGGGGAGGGAGAGGAGAAGAGGCGAGAGTGGGAGAGAAAAGAGGAATGGAGTGGAGAGGAGAGAATATGGGGAGAGGAGAGGAGAGGAAAACAGACACGAAGAGGACGGAGAGGAGTGGAGAGAAGAGTAGGGAGGAAGAGGGGTGAGGAATGGAGAGGAGAGGATAGAAGGGGAGGGAAGAGAAAGAGAGAAGAGACCAGAGAATAGACAGAGGGGAGAGAGAAGAGGAAAGGAACAGAGGGGAGGGAAGAGAAAGGGTGAGGACAGTAGGGGACAAGAGGGAGAGAGGATAGGAGAAGAGTGCAGAGACAGGGATTGAAGAGAGGAGAGGAGAGCAGAGGTGAGGAGGGGAGTGAAGAGGCGAGGAAAGGAGGAGAGAGGATTATAGAGGATGTTAGAAGACAGGAGATTGAGATAGATAGGAGAGGGGGAGGGAGAGGAGAGAACAGGATATGATAGGAGAGGAGAGGAAGGCAAGGGAGGGGAGAGGAGTTGAGAGGATGGTAGAGGAGAGGAGACTGAGAGAGATAGGAGAGTTAGGGAGAGGAGAGGAGAGGAGAGGAGAAGAGAGGAGGGGAGTTGAGAGAAGTGAACGGGAGGTGAAAGTAGAGGAGAAGAGAAGAGGGAGGTGAGAGGAGAGGGGAGAAACGTGGGAGAGAGGAGAGGAGGTCAGAGGTGAGGATAGGTGGGTAGGGGAAAGAAGAGGAGGGAAGAGGAGCGGTAGGTTAGAGGAGAGGAGAGGAGAGGAGGGGAGTGGAGAAGAGAAGAGTGGAAGGAAGAGAAGGGGAGAGGTCATTAGGGTAGAGGAGGGGAGAGAGGAGAGAAGAGGAGAGGAAGGCATAGAAGGAAAGAGGGGAGAGGAGAGGAGGGGAGAGGAGGGGAAAGGAGAGGAGAGGAAGGGAGGGGATTTCAGTGAATAGGAGGGGAGAGGAGAAGAAGTTGAGATAGGAGAGGAAGGCAGAGGAGACTGAGGAAGAGAGTATGAGGAAGAGGAGGGCAGAGGAGAGGAGAGAAGAGGAAGGGAGGGGAGTGAAGATTAAGATAGATAGGAAAGTAAGAGAGATGAGAGGAAAGGTTTGAGAAGGGGAGGTAGGAAGGGAAGAGGAGGGGACAGGAGGGGAGAGGAAAGGAACAGAGAGGAAAGATGAAGAGGAGAGGAGAGGAGGGGAAAGCAGAGAAGAGAAGGGCAGGGAAGAGGAGAGAAGAGAGAAGAAGGGAGGGGAGAAGAGAGGAGATTAAGATAGGTAGAAGAGAAGGGGAAAGGAGAGGAGTGGAGGGGCGGGAGGGGAAAGAAGAGGAGGGGAGGAGAAAGAAGGGAAGAGGAGGCCAGAGGAGGGGAGAGAGCAGAGGAGAGGGGTAAAAGGGGAAGAGAGGAGAGGAGAAGAGGGGAGGGGAGAGCAGGAGAGGGGGGAGAGAGAAGAGGAGGGGAAAGTAGAGGTAGGGAGAGGAGAGAAGAGGTGCAGAGTGTAAGGGATTTGAGAGGAGGGGAGAGAAGAGGAAGCTAAGGGAAAGGAGAGTATGGTACAGGAGGGAGAAGAGGAAAGAAGAGTGGAGAGGAGGGGGAGGTGGGGAGAGGAGGGCAAGGGGGGAGAGAAGCAAAGGAGAGGAGAGAGGAGCAAAGGAGAGGAGAGAGGAGAGGAGAGAAAAGACAGTAGGGGAGGAAAGAAAGGCGAGGAGGGGAGGGGAGAGGGTGAGTCAGGGACAGAAGGATGGAGGAAAGGAGAGAGAGGAGGAGAGGAGAGGAGTGAAGGAAGCAAAGCAGAGGATAGAAGGACAGAGCTTGAGAGAGGTGGGCATAAGAGGGCAGAGGAGGGGAGAGAAGTCGAGAGGAGGCGAGAGAAGGAATAGAAGTAAAGGGGAGAGGAGGGGAGAGGAGGGAGAGGGGGGATAAAGGAGATTAGAGGAGGGTAGCCGAGAGAGGGGAGGGGAAGGGAAGGAGAAGAAAGGAGGGGAGGGGCAAGAAGATTGGGGGAGAAGAGGGGAGAGAGGAGAGGAGAGAAGAAGGCAAAGGAAGGATGAGAGGACAGGAGAGGAGGGAAGAGGAGAGAAGAGTTGAGGGGAGAAGTGGGGAGAAGAGGGGTGAGAAGAGGATAGGAGGAGAGAGGAGGGGAGAGAAAAGGGAGAGAGGAGGGGAGAGGAGGGAGAAAAGAGGAGAGGAGTGAAGGAGAGAGAAGTGGAGAGAAGATTAAGAGAGAAGAGAGGAGGGGAGATGAAAGGAAGGGAGGGGAGGGGAGAGAGTGAGAGAGGGGTGGATAGGAGAAGAGGACGGGAGGAGAGAGGAGGGATGAGGAGGGGTGGTGAGAGGGAAGGATAGGAGGGGAGAGGCAGGGAGAGAGGAGACGAGAGCAGGGGAGGCATGAGGAAGGGATGGCAGAGGAGAGCAAAGGATGGAATGAGAAGAGGAGCTGTGCTGGAAGGGAGAGAAGGGGAGAGGAGAGAGGAGGCAGAAAAAGAGAAGAGGAGATGAGGGGAAAGGAGACAAGAGTAGGGTGTGGAGAGGAGGGGAGAGGAGAGGAGAGGAAGGGAAGGGAGAGCAAGAGAGGACAGAAGAGAGGAGAGGAGGGGAGAGAAAGGGAAAAGGAGAGGAGAGCAGGGGAAAGTTGAGGACGGGAGGGGAATGGAGAGGAGAAGAGAGAAGGGGAGAAAGGGAAGAAAGGAGGGGATGGGAGAGGCAAAGAAAGGAGGGGAGGGGAGAGGAGAAGAGAAGAAAGGAGGGGTGGGGAGGGGAGAGGAAAGGAAATGAGACGGGGAGAGGAGGACAGAGGAATGGACAAAAGAGAAAAGGATGGGAGAGAAAGGGAGGGGAGAAGAGGGCACAGGAGAGGGGAAGGGAGAGGAGAAGAAGGGAAAGGAGAAGAAACAAGGGGAAGGGAATGGAGGGGAGAGGAGGGTAGTGGACAGGAGGGGAGAAGAGCAAGCAGAGTTGAGTGGATAAGAGCAGTGAGGAAAGGAGAATGAGATAGATTAGAGAGGAAGGAAGAGGAGAGGACACGAAGGACAGAAGAGAACAAGAGGGGAGTGGCAGGGAGAGGAAGGGAGAGGATGGGAGAGGAGAGGAGAGGAGAGGAGAAGAGAGGAGAGGAGACGAGAGGAAAAGAGCAGTGCAGAGTGGAGAGGATGGAAGGGAAGACTGAGATAGATAGAGAAATGGAGAAGAGAGGAGGGGAGAAGGGAGGAGTCAAAGACAGGAAGGGAAAGAAGGGAAGAAGAGGAGGGTAGTAGAGAGGAAAGGAGCAGCAAGGAGGTATAGGGCAGAGGAGAGCAGAGGAGAGCAGAGGACAGGTGAGGAGGCTAAGGGAGAGGAGAGGAGAGGAGGCGATGGGAGAGGAGGGGACAGCGAAGAGAAAAGGGGAGGGTAAAGGAGGGGAGATTGAAACAGGTAGGAGAGAAGGGGAGAGGAGAGAAAGGCACAGGTGGGCAGAGATGGTGATAGAGGAGAGCAGAGGAAGGGAGAGGAGAGGAGAGAAGAGGAAAAGAAATGGGGAAGAGAGAGATGGGGAGAGGAAGGAAGCAGAAGGGAGAGCAGGAGAGAGGAAGGCAGAGGGGAGAGGAGGAGAGGGAAGAAGAGGGGAGAGGAGAAAACAGAGCAAAGGAAAGGAGGGGAAAGGAGACTGAGTATAGATAGAGGATGTGAGGAGAGAAGAGGAGGGAGAGAAGTAGAGGGGAGAGGAGGGGAGGGGAGAGGAGGATAGAGGAGAGGAAGGGAGAGGGGAGGAAGAGAGAGGAAAGGAGCAGAGGTTGAGAAGAGAGTATGGAGGAGGGGGCAGAACAGAAGAGTAGAGAGGAGAGGAGAGGAGAGGGAGGTGAGAGGAGGGAGAGTGGAGGAGAGGAGAGAAGGGGATGGAAGAGAGGAGAGAGGTGTAGGGGAGGGGAGGGCAGAGCAGAGGAAGGGAGTGTTTGTAGTGGAGAGAAGAGGAGAGGAATGGAGGGGAATGGAGAGGGGAGGAGGCGAGAGGAGAGGAGAGCAGAGGAGAGGAGGGGAGAGGAGAAGAGAGGAGAGTGTAAGAGGGGAGAGAACAAGTGAAGAAAGGAGAGGAGGGGAGAGGAAGGG